AGCTGTGGTTTTCAAGCTAAATTCAAGGTGGCCTGAGACCACGGTTTACTGCCCTGAAACACTCTGTTCAGGCCACCTTGAAAAGAAAGGTGTAGTTGGCACCTTGCTTGCAGCTACCAGGTATAGTACTTCAAGTTCCCTTTCCGTCAACCGCTCGATAGCCTCTACACACGCACAGCAATCCACAGCTTTGAAGTCTCATTCGTGCTTTGAACTTGTGTAGGTGTGTAAGAGGTCTCACGGCCGCCTCCACCTGGCAAATGCCAAGCGGAGCTGCCGTAGAGAAATGAAAGAAAATGGAGTGGGATGGTGGATCTAGGGTGCAGACCTACCTTTCTATCCTATGCTTCGACGCGCAGTTCTCGAGAAAGGGAAGCGCTGGCTTTCGTTTTGCAGCTTCTCAGGTTTGGGTGGTATGTTCGAAAAAGAGGAACCATTTAAGAGGAGCAACTGGGAGATGAGGCTTAAGTGGTGTCAGATGACCCCTTTTGTAACTGTTCGTCGTTCTTCAGGTCTTCAGGTTGGATTTTCGGTTGCGACGTGTTTCTCTCAAGGTCGTGAGGGGGGGGAAGACTGAACAAGCTTCAGAGAGACTCCATACCCAGGGCACAGCCACAGCCATCCCGAACCATCACACGATGGCTCGTGCCCCGCATCAGACGCGTGCCGCCTTGGGTACGGGGCGTGCCTTCAGGTGCTTCATCGAAACCTCTCTGCGGCCCGCGTGCCCAGCGAGTGGTCGGAGGGGGGGGGGTCGATGGTGGTTCTCGGAATCCTGGACATGGAAGTTTTGAAGAAGCTACGAACGGGGCTCCAGGCCTTACTACTATAGGAGCAAGGACGCTACGTTCAGGGCTCCTGGCATCGCTACTAGGAGCATTCTTACTAGTAGTAACAAGAAGCTACTAGTAACAAGAAGCTATTAGAAACAAGTGCATCGCTTCTAGTAACAAGTGCCTTACTAGTAGGAACAAGAAGCTACTAGGAACAAGAAGCTACTAGGGTCTTTGTGAGTGACTTTCACGTCGGGCCCCCAGACACTTCATGGGAATATGGCATATCTAGCTGCATTGACCAATAAGACCACCCCAATGTAGGTATACATATACCATACATGGAGCGTTTGGGCTAGGTCCTTAGGACAGTGATGTCCATGTTCCCAAACTGGTGTGTATATAACATTGTATGATACTGTATAATAATAGTAATAATATATATAATTAGCACTATGATTGTTACTATTACTATTATTACTACTACTACTACTATCAATGCACAATGATGCACGCCTATATACAGTATTGGATATTGTCAGTCAATCTCATTTGGGGATATTTTACGCCACTTATGAGTAGAGCAAAGACAGTTTGTGTGCGTGGGTCACGGGTCAACTCAACATCCCCGGCAGTTGTGGTTGTGGTGTTGGTTGCTGATTGTGGTTGCGGTTGTGGCTGTTGCTGCTGCTGGTGCTGTTGCTGTTGCTGTTGGTGTCGTTGTCGTTGTGGTTGTCGTTGTGGTTGTGGTTGTGGTTGTTGTTGTTGTTGGTGGCGGTGGTGGCGGTGGTGGTGGTGTTGTTGGTGTTGTTGGTGTTGTTGGTGTTGTTGGGGTTGTTGGTGCTGTTG